TCACTTCTTCTTTTATTTATTATCACCTCCGAAAATATTCTTCAGAAAATATCTACATTGATTATTATTTAATGATAAATTATTATTACTTTGAATTAATCCGAGTCCGAATCGATAGTATTTTTGTTGTTTATGATGAACAGCAATCGAACGTAAATGATGCTGAATAAATGTATTTGAATTTTTGAACATTTTTTTTAAAGGCTAAAATTTAAAAATGATTGAAAAAAGTTTATTGATTATCAAATTTGTTAGTTTTTATAATTTTCATATATTGATTGGTATTATATAATATTCAAATATTTGAATATCAATAAATAACCAATAATATTCAAAGAATACACTTTTAAAAATTAATTAAAAAAAATAAATGAACTCAACCAGCAAAATTGAAGGTAAATTTTCAAAGCCTTTGAAATAATACCAACAACAATACAACAACACCACTATATTGATCGAATGAATCAAATTATCAGATATTCCATGTACAATATTAAAATCCAAACTTGAAAATTCAATTAAAATTGATGAAGAATTTAAATCATCAAGCCTTTCATCAATTAAAGTATGGAATGTAATTGAATTGACTGTTTCTCCGTGTGCTAAATATGCTTCATTTCCATATCATGATTACACTCCGTATGCTCAATTTATTTCAGTGGATGATTTAATAGAGAAGGAATTAAAATTAGAGAAGGAAAATGTAAAATCATTGTGTTCATCATGTCTAATGAATCAATCGTGTGATGTTTCATCTTCATGTAATGGAGTTTGTATTGTTACTAGAAATGTCATACTTTCGAATAGTCATGCTGGAACACATGCTGATCAACCTAAACATTTTGAAAAGAATCCAATTGTGGAATATTTTCACACTCTTCAATATAATGGAGCTTGTTTAGTATTAAATTTAGTGGAAGAATTGAAGAATAATTTGGAAATTTCAGAAGAAATGTTTCGAAATGCAATTGAAAAGAGTAAAATTCCAAAAGATAAAATTCTCAGATGTATCATCAAGACTCGATCCAATCAACCAAGTGATGAACAAGAATGGACCAATGATTTTGCACATTTTCATCCAAGTGCAGCTGAATATTTATCAAGAGAATTACCTAATCTTCTCCTTATTGGAATTGATACACCATCAATTGACCATCCTAATAAGGCACCAATTATTGAACATTCACATGGTAGATTTTGGAATGCTAGAATTGCAATTTTGGAAAATTTAAATTGTGAAATGATTTTTTCTCATACTACTAACAGTAGTGATAATAGTATTAATAGTAATAGTAGTATTAACAATAGTATTGAAGGATATTTACAAACAACTTTCAATCCATTACAAATTTCACAAGATGCCATTGGATGTTTTGTCAAGTTTTATCCTTCACATCAATAGAATGTTATATCTTTCAACAATAATCTTTTCTACTCTGCTTCTACTACTAGTTGACATTTATTAGTAGTTAATGACAATATAAAGATTAAAGATTAATTTACTGTAAATATGGATTCTTAAAGATGTCAGGACTCTATTCATCTACAGATTTGCCGTCTTCGAACATGAATGGACATTCAATAAGAAAAAGCCAACAGTCAGGTACGGAGTATGATTCACACAATTTAACACGTTAAAATTAATTGGGCGGGAAAAGTTTGCTTGTCTTTCAAACTTGTCAATCAAAATTTTGCTCATCAATCAAACATTTTAACTTGACGTATGTCATCTTTTTAACGGGCAAGCCAATCGTTGACAGGTTTTTTCTCTTCACCACAACACGTGTAAGCAACAACTGCCACACACATCAATGGACAAGTATAAATCCCTGTCATCAAGTTGTTTTCACACAAAAAAAAACACAAGAACAAAATGTCCACTAACGTTGCTCCAGAAATTGATGCTGCTTGGGAATCCTTGAAGACTGAATCCATTAAATGGTTCACTTTCGTCCCAGAAAAGACTGGTTTGATCATGGATGCCACTGGTACTGGTGATTGGGATGAATTCTTGGGTTCATTCGGTCCATCTGATGTCAAGTTTGGTATTTATCGTGCTGTTGCTGTTGATGATGATTCTAGAAGAACTAAATTCGTTTTAGTTGCT